CCTTCCCACTTTTATTGTTAGTGCCCGAGATTTGTGAGCCACAAAACCGAATTGGATAAATGACGTAGAGGGCCACAAACTGCCCAAACTGTGTTGTTCCCGAGAGAGTGGACAATCGCCGGGCTGTGTTCCGAGTCCTTCCAGCTGGTTGGTCGGGCGGTCGGCTTTGGTCGGATTGTTGGTCGGTCGGTCTGTCGGTCGGGCGATCATCTGGTTTAATAGTCGGTTGGTCGGTTTGTTGGGTGGTCGTTTGGTCAGTCGGTCATCTGGTTGAATAGTCGGTTGGTCGTTTCGTCGGGTGGTCGTTTGGTCGGTCCGTCAGTCATCTGGTTGAATATTCGGTTGGTCGGTCGGTCGGTCGGGAGAGTGGATTTGCGTAAGAGATATAGGAATCCTGTTTCTATTCCTCCTCCACGCCTCGTATGCATAGGCATTTGTTATATAATACGGATATACATTATATTCTGTCGTGGATCCCGTTCAGTGTCATGACGTCATGACGGGAATGCAGCAAAGGTGGCTCGAGCAATATTCCAAAATCATTAGGAGGCATCATCGCAGGAAGGTCGCTTTTTGCATAATCCACACAGGTGAGGAGTGCCATTATTATTTCCCCGTGGCTTCGGGAATTAATCGCTGCTCATTAGTCAGAAGAGGGGGAGAGAGACAGAGGCCAAAAATATATTTAAATGAGGAAAAACTAGTAATTATTTTTGATGATCGGAAACCCAGGTATAGGGGTCTTGTCTCTCCCCTATATCCTCCCATACGCTATCCCTGTCTCCCTTCTCCTCCCCCCTTTCCCCTCTCCATCCTCTCCTATTTCCTCCCCCTTCGCCTATCTTTCCCTCCCACCCCCCTTCCCCTTTCTTCACCCTCTACCCCCCCCTTCCCCATCAACAACCCTTACTCTTCCTCTTTCCTCATCATCTCTTCCTTTCCTTCCCCTCCCTCTTCATCATCCCGTCTTCTCTCCATCTCTTCCCCTTCCATCTCTACTTCCACCTTCCTCTCCATCTCTATCTTCTCATCCCCTTCCCCTTTGCTATCCCCTCTCTCCCCTCTCCTCCTTCACATCCTCTCCTTCCCCATTCCCCCTCCCCCCCTCCCTATCCCTCCGCTTCTCCCTCCCCATTCCCCCCCCTCCGCCTCTCCCTCCCCCTCCCTTTCCCTCCGCCTCTCCCTCCCCCTCCACCTTTACCCCACCTCTCCCTCCCCCTCCACCTTTACCCCACCTCTCCCTCCCCCTCCACCTTTCCCTCTTCCTCCCTCCACCCTTTCCCTCCACCCTTTCCCTCCACCCTTTCCCTCCACCCTTTCCCACCCCCACCCCCTCCCCTTCTCCCCTGCCTCCCTTTTCACATGCAAGTGCCGTGATCCAAACGACATGCCAGCGAGCAATGGCGAATTAATCTCATCCCGACGTGTAGATTCGTCATGCAGCGGCCGGCGCGATATGATCAAAGTTTTAATTGTCGAACCGACGGTGACCGCGCAGGGGGGGGGAGTCGGCGTGATTGTGGGACTGCGCTGTTTGTCGAAGAAAGTGGGCGGTGAGTGGGCGGAAGAGGGGTGGTGGGTGGGTGGGAAAGAAGGGCGGTGGGTGGGAAAGAAGGGCGGTGGGTGGGCGGGCAGGAAAGAAGGGCGGTGGTGGGTGGGGGAGGAGGGCGGGAAAGAAGGGCGGTGGGTGGGCGGGCGGGAAAGAAGGGCGGTGGGTGGGCGGGGGAGGAGCGGTGTGGATGGGTGAGGGCGGTGAGCGGGCGGGCGGGCGGGCGGGCGGGCGGGAGGGAGAGAAGGGCGGTGGGTGGGAGTTCTACGCCGTGAGAGAAAGTCGCTCGTTAGCTCTGTTAAGATGGATAATTGGAAGTGTTAATAGTTCTGTCTTATTTTCTGGCGATTATTAGTCATTTTGTCAGTTTTATTATTGTAATTTTCATTATCATCATTATTATTATTTTCACTATCATTATTATTATTATCAATTATTATTATTATTATTATTATTATTGTTGTTGTTGTTTTGTTATTATTATTATAATAATAATAATTATTATTATTATAATAATTATTATCATTTTGTTGTTTTGTTATTATTATTATTAATTATTATTGTTATTATTATTATTATTATCATCATCATCATCATCATCATCATCATCATCATTATCATTATTATCATGACTCTTGACAATGGTGGTGCCAAATGTATACCTCTCATAATCGTCATCGTAACCTTTGCCATGCTTCTTCTTAACTCTTCTTCTTATTCCTTTATTAATATTTTATTTCCAACGAAGGTGCAACAGCAGAATTTTTACCTCGATCGACCCCCTTGCCAGATGAACGCGTCGCTTGTCATGCATATTAATCGGGAATCAAGGAGCCAAAAGAGACCCTTTCTTGTCTGAAATCCTGTCATGAGTTTTTTTGTTTTTTGTTTTTTAATTGAATTTTATTTCTTTATTTTTTGTTTTTTATTTTTTTATTTTGTATTTATTTGTTTTTGGGTTCCTTTGAGTAAGGTCGTTGGCCTTTCTGAACGAAGTGTTGTGGGATTGCATTGACTGGTGGACTTTTTTTTCTTCTTCTTTTTCTTTTCTTATTTTTATTTTTTTCGTCTTTTTTCTTTTTTTTCTTTTTTTCTTTTTCTTATTTTTATTTTATTTTCTATTGTTTTCTTTTCTTCTTCTTTTCCTTTTATTCTTCTTCTTTTATTTTTTCTTTTTCTTTTTTCTTTTATCTTTTCTTTTCATTTCCTCTTGTTTTTCTTTTTCTTCTTCTTCGTTTCCTTTTGTTCTTCTTCTTCGTTTCCTTTTCTTCTTCTTCATCTTCATTCTCTTCATCGTGTTCTTCCCTTTTTTGTATCTATTTATCATTATTATCATCATCATTATTTATTATAAATATTATTTTTATCTCCGCACAGCAACACCCACGTGCTTTTCATACCTCCCCCCCCCCCCCATTACTACGGATTAAGCTGCTTTGCCAAAATTCCAACAATGATTTTAACAAAGGCTGATTGTTACGACACGCCAGGGAAACAGTAAGGGGGGGGGAGGGGGGGGGGCGTTTACTCGTGCAGTTGCAACAGACACGTTCGTTTTGGGGCAGATTGTTGCAATAACGCCCCCTGCCCTTTGTGTGCTAGTTGCTTGGTCTAATGCCCGATAAAAATCACTGGTTTATATTATTTCATTTTGTGTGTGTGTCGCTTTATAAAGGAAGGTCTTGCTATCCTGGTGGTCTTTCTATAGTTGCTTTTTTGTGATCCATAGGGTAGGTTAGGTGAAGTTAGGGTAAGTTGCATATGACTGGCGATCGTCCATTTAGAAGCAAAAAAAATCTATTGACCACTATCTTGACAGGCGATCACCCATTTAGAAGAAAAAAAATATCTATTGACTGTTGACTATCTTGCATATGACTGGTGACCGTCCGTTTAGAAGAAAAAAATTATATTGACGATTGAGTATCTTGCATATGACAGGCGATCACCCATTTAGAAGGAAAACAAATCTCCATTGACTATTGACTATGTTGCATATGACAGGCGATCGCCCATTTAGAAGGAAAACAAATCTCTATTGACTATTGACTATGTTGCATATGACTGGCAACCATCCGTTTTCAACTCGCGTGGATTTCTCTCCCCGCCGCGCGCCCTTGCTCATTCGGGTGTTTATCCGGTCTCGCTTTTTTGACGCGAGTGGAGGTCAGCGCGATACCCCGTGCAGGTGTTCATCTCCTGACACTGATAAGCATGCATGAATGTTGTTTACAGACGCTTACATACGCATACATATATATATTCATAGACACAGACATTCGTATTCACACTCACACTCAGACTCTCTCTCTCACACACACGCGCACACGCACTCGCGCGCACACACACACACACACACACACACACACACACACACACACACACACACACACACACACACACACACACACACACACACACACACACACACACAGTTACAAACACACACACACACGCTCAAAACACAACACAAAAGAAACGAAGTTCCTGAATCACGTCCACTGGAAGCCAAAGCTCGTGATCTCGGGACAACGGAAGCGTAAGTCTCTGTAGTGTTGAGTCCAGGTAGTGAACTGTGTAGCCTGTTGAGGAGTTGTTACTGAGAGTGTCCTACTTTGTAAGTGCTAGTTTTGATATGTAAGGTTTACTGATGTGGGTTTATCTGCTTCGTATCCTTGTGATAACTCTCTGTTTTTTCTCTATACTATCTTTCTTTCTTTCTCTCTTTCTTTCTTTCTTTCTTTCTTTCTCTCTCTCTCTCTCTCTCTCTCTCTCTCTCTCTCTCTCTCTCTCTCTCTCTCTCTCTCTCTCTCTCTCTCTCTCTCTCTCTCTCTCTCTCTCCCCCCTCTCCCCCTCTCCCCCTCTCTCCCTCTCCCACTCTCCCCCTCTCTCCCTCTCCCTCCCTACCTCCCTTCCTCCTCCTCCTCCCTCCTCTCTCCTCTCTCCTCACTTCCCTTTCTTTTTCTCTCTGTCTGTTCCCTCTCTCTCTCTCTCTCTTTCTATCTCTCTCTCTCTCTCTCTCTCTCTCTCTCTCTCTCTCTCTCTCTCTCTCTCTCTCTCTCTCTCTCTCTCTCACACACACACACACACACACACACACACACACACACATACACATACACACACACACACACACAGAGCCTCCCTCCTATATTTGGTAACTTTGTCTTTAGTATTAAGATGCCTTATAGTTAGCGTAACATTCGCGAAATGTAATTACTTAGGGCCATATTATTCGCGTGTGTGGCTCCCTGGGCCTCACGCGCCGTCAGTACGAGTTTTACCACTAACTTTAAGCGAGTTTAAACCTTTACTTGTAGTTTTGTTCCGTAGTGTACGATGGTGTTGCCACTTGCAGGAGCCCCAAGTTGGAATATAACCGCCCTTTGTGCAACTTGACTAGCTTCCATTGCAGTGTAATTGTAGCGTTTGTGTTCTCCCTCTCTCGTAGGACACCCGTACAAAGCATAAGTTCAAGACTCAGACCTATGGCTCGCCCACCTTCTGCGACCACTGCGGCTCCCTCCTCTACGGCATCATCCACCAGGGCATGCGGTGCGAGGGTAAGTACGAGGACCTGGGTCGTGCACGCGGCTGGTCGTGTGGTGTTCCTGTCATGGGTGTTTGTATGCATATGTGTAGGGTGTATGTGTATATTTCTTTATTTGTTTATATACATATATGAAGGGTGTATATGTATATTCCTTTCTTTATTTATTTGTCTATATACATATATGGATGTGTATATGTATATTTCTTTATTTAATTGTTTGTTTATATACATATATGAAGGGTGTATATGTATATTTCTTTATTGATTTATTTGTTTATATATATATGTATGTGTATGTGTGTATATATATTTCTTTCTTTTATTTGTTTGTTTATATATAATGTAGATATATGTGAATGGTAAGACACTTTACCATAGATATGTGTGTGGCGTATAGAGGATGGTGTTCATTTCTCCTGTTTATAGTGATGTTTTGTATGTATAGTGTGTATTATTATTGTTTGTCTGTTTGCCCTGTTCATTTTACAAAATTTCTAATTACAAGCTATTTTTGTGTTCATTTTGTGGCCGAATGGTGTAGCGCGAGTATTTTTCTTCAAGCATCTTTCGTGTAGGAAATACCAATACCCTGTAATGAAGAAATAAAGGTAAAAGGGAGAGAGAACCGCCGAGTCCTCTCATTTCGCACTACAGAGGAAAGGCAATTTGTAAACAGGAAATGTTCTCTCCCAACTACAGCAGTTTCAGAGGCTGCGAATTAGCATATTTGACGGTATATAAGACGCACGGGAGTATAGACTCGCTTTCATTTCAACAGGGTATATTCTAGGGGGGGAAAATGCACCCGATCCCTTTGTATATGAAAATTAGGGTGTGTTTTTGAGTCATTAAAAAAAATGTTTCTTATATTCCGTCAAATGTGGAGTTCTTTCTATTTTTTTTTAGTATCCAGATGATTAAACATAGTGTAAGTGAAATTAATTGGTATAAAGATATGTGTTCAAGGCCATTAATATTTAGAATATCAGAATCTTAATATTGAAAAGATACTGTATATCTTTCGTGATTAAGTTTCGTGTTTTGTCTACCTGTGTATTATTATTACTGAATGTTTATTTATTGTGTGTTTTTTTGTCATGTGCATCGTGTGTACAAAAAGCCCTTTGTCATAGAGCGGCGTGCATGCAAATTTCTTACATTCGTCTTTTTTTCTTTCCTTCTTGCATGTCTGTTACATGTGGACCTTCTACGTCATCGGTGGTTTTCCTGTGTTCTTTTGTTTTGCTCTCGCCAATGTCGCTTCCTCCCGATTTATTTTTTCTAACCGTGTTTCGTCTTCAAATCGTGTTGGTCATGGTGGTAATGATTATTTGAAATATGGTAACGTAAATGTCGGTTGTAACCTTTTGGCTTTCACTTTTTTTTTAATTCAATTTGTTTTATTATCGTCATCTGCTTTTGATGAACGTACGGATTCGGACGCGTTATGAATTGCGTTCAAATGCTGGAACTGTTCTGGGCGTGGATGGACGCCGCGTCACTTTGAAAATCAAATCATATTTATTGCTGAAATTCATAACGGACGCGTATTTGAATAACAAAATATGGCATCGATTCTCTTTTTTTCTGTGTGTGATTAAACAAATAAATACATAAACGAATAAAATCTCGAAATTGCGATCGGTGGCAACTCCAAAAACAACCGCGGCTGTGATTGGTCGAAAGCAGCAAGCGGACCATCTTAACCACCAATGGGAGGACGCGACATACACCACGCCCACCTTCTGCGACCACTGCGGGTCTATGATGCATGGCGTGATGAAGCAGGGCCAGAGATGCAAAAGTGAGTTCATCGGACGGACGTAGTTAGAGGTCAAGAAAGGTATCAGAGGCATTAGCAGGCATAAGTAGTTATTTCATTTTGCAGAGTTGTTGGCATATACGCAAGAGCGCCTGGTAGTAGCGGTAGATGTTGATCTAGGGAGAGATGCCTAAGTCCTGGTAGTGAACTTTGTCATTTTAGTAGAGTTGATATGTGGTTAATGTTATTGACACTTGGGATGCGCCCTAATTCATTATATATGTATGAACTTGAAATATTTTTAAGCATACTGATGATTATTATCATTTATTGATGAATCGGCTAATTTTTATATTTTATCAAATGAAAAACTTACTTTCAGCATGCTTAATACCTGTATGTAGTGTTAGTTGATTCATACGTTCAGAGTATACCACAGGAATAAAATCATAGTTAACGAGTTGATTTTTTCCCCCAACCCGCGGCTTACTCTGTCTCGTTAGGCATGTAAACTCCGCCCATCATTTTATTCTTGCAACACCCGTGGGCCCATACTTGATTTAGGCTTAAAGGAGGCCTTTTATCTCTAGCCGCAGCAACATCAAACGGCGAGACGGGAAATGGAATCCGTTCGAAGCATCGGCGCCTCACAGACACGCCCCCCCCCTCCCCCCTCAAAGGCACCATATTGGGGGAGGGGGGGGGTTGAGGGTGAAGTGAAGAGGGGGGGTGAGGGGTGAGGCGAGGAGGGGGGTGAGGGGTGAAGCGAAGAGGAGGGGGTGAGGGGTGAAGCGAGGAGGAGGGGGTGAGGGGTGAGGCGAGGAGGAGGGGGGTTGGATGAGAGGAAGAGGCGCCCGTCACTCCCAATCAGGGCTTAAGCTACGTGGATACGGCGAGCTCTGACAAATGATGGCGGCTCAACACCACTAACTCATTAATACTATCCATCACGAGATTCCTAAGCCTTGCAAGGAGACGGCAGGGGCGGGGCATGCAAAGGCCGACTCAGGGGAACCGCCCTTCTGGGATTACTCTCCCAGGGCGTGAGCTGCTATTTATTTTATAATTTTAGGCCGGATATGGCGGTCGGAAAGGGTTGATTAAGAAAAAATATATATATATATTGTCAAAACTCGTTGGAAGATATGAAAAAAAAATCGACGAATAAACGAAACGGAGAAAGAGAAGAGAAGAAGATCCCGGCGCTCGTCCTCATGTTGACTCAGACTGGAGCGTCGCCCGTCGATCACCCTCGAGGAAGCGAGGCATCGAAGCCAGCGGAGAGATTGGCTTCGTCTCAGGCAGAAGAAGCTTAGATTGAAGGGAGTTCATTGTCAGCGAGGCGAGAGAAGCCAGATTGGAGTCGCGAAGGAAAGAAAAAGATTGAAGGTGTCTGTGGAGGCAGAGAATTCGAGATTTCAAGGAGGATGACAGGAATATCTGGCTCATTGATTATCAATGAGGATATGAAGGTACTGTGTTGCGTCAACCGAGAGCGCGCGCGGGAGGGAAACCTAGAGAGAGAGAGAGAGAGAAAGAGAGAGAAGGGGGAGAGGGGAAAGAGAGGGACGTGGAAATAGCAGGGAGAGAGGGAAGGAGGGAGAGAGGAATTTGAGGAGAGCGTGAGTTTTGGGGACATAAGAGAGAGAGAGAGAAAGCGAGAGTGGAAGGGAAGGAGACGGGAGAGTAGGGGGGAAAGAATACTGGGAAGATAAAAAAAAAGAATAGAGAGAGGGAAAAGGGAAGAGGAAGGGAAGATGAGGAAGACGGAATCAGGGAGTTAGGAAAAGGAAGATACGAGAGACGAAGACAGTAGAGAGAGGGAGAGAGAGCGAGAGCAAGAGAGACGGGAAACGTCCCCTCAGTCAACAAAAAGAGAGACTGCTACAAGACTAACTCCTCAGTCAACACTGGCAAGAGGCAGCTAAAAGAAAATCCTGTCGGTCAACACAGGTGAGACACAAGTTACTAAGAAAGAAATGAAGGACGCAGAAGCAAATGCAAGGACGAAAGTAAGACAGGCAGCAAAAGGGAGCGAAAAAAAAAACAAACTAAGTGAAGAAATCGACAGAAAGGAAAGCAAGAAAAAGACATCGAAAGAAAAGAGTGAAATAAATGGCTTGAGTAATACGATGACGATTGTTATTATCCAAGCTTTTATTTGCGTTTGTTAGGGGTCCACCTCGCTCCCGACACTTTTAGGGGAGACCCATTTCCCCTCAGGGTTTTCCCGGGGTCCCTAGTGCTCTGCGTGATAAGAAGTTCGACCGCCTTCCTGCATCTCACTCTTTTAGGGAAGGAGTGAGAGGGAAAGTATAATCAGGTCTGCAGAAGACTTAATGACCCTTCAGAAGTTTGCAAAAAGGGTCTTTAAAGGATGGTTAAGGAAAATAGATCGTTTTTTTCTTCCTTTTCTTTTCTTTTAGTTTTTTTTACCGAAGAGAAGTTGTAGAGAAGGAAGAAGAATGGAAACTTGAAGGGATATTTATTGTTAGGAAGCATTGGGGATGTGCAGAGAGGAAGGGAGAGAGAGAGAGAGAGAGAGAGAGAGAGAGAGAGAGAGAGAGAGAGAGAGAGAGAGAGAGAGAGAGAGAGAAAGGAGAAAGGCAGAGAGATAGAGAGAGAGAAGAAAGATAGGGTAATATATTAAAAAATGGGGGACACAGGAAGTCACCAAAACAAAGCAAAGGAATTGGATAAATAGATCATTACGAAAATCATCCTATATCGTATACTTTAACTTAGGAATATAAAGGTATTCGAAAGCAGGTAAGACGTGGCTTTAGGATGCAAATGAAGACACTGGGAAGACGATTATGAATTTTACAGAGAGAAGTCCGCGTCGAAAGCAGGGACAAGGGGGGTGGGGAGGATGAAGAACAGTGGAAGGAGAGAAAACTGGGTTAGGAAACAGGTGGCAGGGGAGAGAACGAGCGTCAGGGGAGAGAGAAAGGAGAGAATTAGGCGACGGAGAAAAGAGGTGGCAGGGGAGGGAACTGGTGGCAGGGGGAGGAAGAGAGAGATAAAGCCAGGAAGGAAAATACTGGTGGCAGGGGGGGGGGGGGGACGAAGCCAGGGAGGAAAATTCTGGCAGCAGGGGATAGGGGACTGGTGATAGGTTAGGGAACTGGTGGCAGATGGGGGGGGGGGGGGTGACAGGGAGTGAAGTGGTGGCAGGGAGAGAAGAATACTGGTGAGAGAGGGAGGAAATAGAACCAGAGGGAGAATGTTTGGTGACAGGGAGAGAA